AAGCACCTTACAAAAGGCCCAATGATCTACTTCCAAAAGTAGGTTTTGAAAACGCTGTGGAGCACAGTTGTACTATGACAACCACGAGGTACCCATGAGTCTACATCAATTCATCAGCAACTGGCCTCTGACTGGTCCAGGTTTGTTTGGTTCTTTACGTAAAATTTACAGACAATGAAAATGCACACATATTATGTATCCTTTTGTAATGTTCAAGAAATACTTACATCTGTATAACTCAAATTCTACCAAGGTATAGAGAAAGTTGCCTTGTGCCCCTTCCCAATTATTCTCTAGATCAATACAAACTGAATAACACTGTGTGAAGAATGGGAATTCCAGAACATTCCATTGTGCTCATACAGAACATAGACTGAGAAGCGGTTTATCTAATAGAACAAGGAGGTACTGAATGACTTAAAATCAGAAAAGGTGTGCATCAGAGTTGTATCCTTTCATCAGATTTACCCAGTTTGTATGCTAAACAAATAAGACAAAAAACTACGCTATAGGAAGAAGAATGTGGCATTGGAGAAACACTCATTAACAACCTGTGATATGCAGATGACACAACCTTGCTTGCTGAAAGTGAAGAGGACTTCACGTAGTCAAGATATTTCTTCACGTAGTCAAGATATTTCTTCAGTATGGATTACATCTCATCATAAAAATCCTGGACCAACTTGACCAATAAGCAACATCATGATAAACAGAGAAAAAAGTGAAGTTGTCAAGGATTTCATTTCACTTGGATCCACATGGAGCATTCCCATGAAAGCAGCAGCCAAGAAATCACTGTATTGCATTGGGCAAATCTGCTGTAAAAGACCTATTTAATTGTTTAAAAGCAAAGATGTCCTCTTGAGGAATATGCATGTGTCACCCCTTGTCTGCCAGTTTGTCCTGCTGTGGTGGCTTCCATGTTGCTGTGGTACAGGAACCTATACCACCGGTCCTCCATGGACAAGTTTCAGCAGAGCTGTCGGACTAAGGCAGACTAGGAAGGAGGAGAAACAAAATAAGTGTGACTATTTAGTCCCTAAAAACCTTATGAATAGCAGCAAAATATTGTCAGATACAGTGCCAGAAGATGAAACTATTATGAATTGCACAAGATTTTTGTTAGGTACAGCCTTGGAAACACAGTGTAGGGTCGCTATGAGTCAGAACCGACTCCACAGCACATAACAACAACAACAACATAGCGCTGTAAGATGAACCCCTCAGTTGGAACACACTCAGAATACCACTGAGGACAAGCTGCCTCTAAGTAGAATTGCCATGATGGTGCATATGGAGTAAAGCTTTCGGGACCTTTATTTACTGAAGTGACACAACTCAAAATGAAGACAAGCAGCTGCAAACATCCTTTAGTAATTGGAATATGGAACATACAGTGTGTAAATCTAGGAAAAGTGGAAGTTCTCAAAAATGAAATGGAATACACAAATGATAGGCTAGGCATTAGTGAACTGAAATGAACTGGTATTGTTGTTGTTAGGTGCCATCAAGTCAACACCGAGTCATAGTCCTGTGCCATCCTTACAATTTTTGTTCCGTTTAAGCCCATTGGAGCTGCTACTGTGCCAATCTAGCACATGGGGATTTTCCTCTTTTTTGCTGACCTTCTCCAGGGACTGGTACCTCCTAATAATATGTCCAAAGTATGAGAGACGAAGTCTCATCATCCTGCCTTCTAAGGGGCATTCGGCTGCACTTCTTTCAACACTGATTTGTTTATTCTTTTGACAGTCCATGGTACTTTAAGTATTTATTCTTCTCCAACACCATAACGCAAATGCATCAATTCTTGTACAGCCTTCCTTAGTCACTTTCCAACTTTCACATGCATATGAGCTTATTGAAAATACCATGGCTTGAGTCAGGCTCGCTTTAGTCCTCAAACTGGCATCTTTGTTCTTCAATGCTTGAAAGAGGTCTTGTGCATTAGATTTGCCTATTGCAATACATCATTTGATTTCTTGCTGCTGCTTCCATGAGTGTTGATTGTTGATCCAAGCAAAATGAAGTCTTTCACAATTTCAATCTTTTCTCCATTTATGTGTTATTTATTGGTCCAGTGGTGAGGATTTTTGTTTTCTTTACATTGAGGTGTAACCCATCCCAAAGGCTGTGGTCTTCAGTCTTCATCAGTAAATATTTTAAGTCCTCTTTGCTTCTGGCAAGCAAGATTGTATCATTTGCATATCTCAGGTTGTTAATGAGTCTTCCTCCAATTCTAAGGAGACATTTTTCTTCATATAATCCAGCTTCTCGAATTATTTACTCAGCATACAGATTGAGTAAGTATGGTAAAGAATACAATTCTGTCGCACATACCTTTCCTAATTTCAAACTATTCAGTGTTCCCTTGTCTTATTCGAACAACTGCCTCTTAGTCTACGTGCAGGTTCCTCAAGAGCACAATTAAGTGTTCCGGAATACTCATTCTCCATAATGCTATCCATAGCTTGTCATGATCCGTACAATTGAAAGCATTTGTATAATCAATAAAGCACAGGTAAACATCTTTCTGGTATTCTCTGCTTTCATCCAAGATCCATCTGATGTGAACAAGTCCTTTTATGGATCCACTTGAACCTCTGAAAGTTCTCTGCCAATGTATGGTTGCAGCTGATTTTAAATTATCTTTAGCAAAATTTTACTTGCATGGGATATTAATGATATTGTCTGATGGTTTCTGCATTCCATTGAGTCACCTCTGTTTGTAGTAGACACAAATATGCATCACTTCTAGTCAGTTGGCCAGATTGTTGTCTTCCAAATTTCTTGGCACTCATCTGAGTGAGTGCCTCCAGTGCTGCATCAGTTTGTTGAAAGATTTCAATTACTATTCCATCAATTCCCAGAGCCTTATTCTTTGCCAATGCCTTCAATGCACCTTGTGCTTCTTCCTTCAGTGTCATTGGTTCTTGATTGTATGCTACCTCTTGAAATTGACCATCTCTTTCTGGTACAGTGAACTCTGTATTCCTTCCATCTTCTTTTTTGCTTTCTGCATC